TATTGTGTAGGAGTGGTTTCAAGAACATGAGGGAGACTTTACCTTGCTTAGGTGGCCCCCACAATCACCAGATCTCAATCCAATTGAGCATTTGTGGGACGAAGTTAAAAGAGCCATCAGGCAGCTGGTTCCACAACCATCAAATCTCACAGAACTGGACAGTGCTATTCATCAGGCATGGTGTCAGATTCCTCGCATCACCTTTCAACATCGCATGGAGTCAATGCCAAGAAGAATCGCTGCAGTATTGAAGGCAAAAGGTGGCCCAATGAACTACCGATTGGGTGGTCATAATAATCTGGCCACTCAGTGTATATTGATTTAAGAGAGGAAGGGAGAGGTAGAGAGAGATAGAAATATCAAACATGAAAGAGAATCATTGATTGGCTGCCTCCTGCATGCCCCACACTGGGGATCAAGCCCGCAACCCAGGCATGTGCCCTGACCGGGAATCAAACCATGACCTCCTGATTCGTAGGTCAATGCTCAACCACTGAGCCACGCCGGCCAGGCACTGATATATTTTTATTGACGTTGTACTTTTTCAAGCTTGCTAATTATTTCCCCTTTGTCTGTTATCTTCATAGCAGTGTTCATCAAGATTTAGAGACGTTGCAATGTGCAGACATTTCCAAGGAAATTCTAAACAGTCACCTGCCTCCCCAACCTCCCCAAAGTTCTTAAGTCTGTGGTTAAAGCCATGGGTGCCTATTGAACGATGTACTACTAGAAAGGACTTAGACAGTACACCTGTATATGGAACTTTCCACGGTCCACCTACGACAGACGAGCTAACAGACTTGCCCAGCCAGCCTGCTCTGCGCCAGCAGCATTTCCACCCTGGCCACTCAACCGGTTCATGAAGATGACGTCTTTTCACTGATACTTTTTTGATAGTTTTTATATAACCAAGTCCTTATTCTATTTGTAACTGAAGATAATAAGGCACTATAGACGAATTCCCTGAAATAATATATTTGTCTGCTATCTTTCAGCATTTCTACTTCACATTAATTTTTAGCTGTAGAATTGTTAAATTCTTACTGTTATCTCTTTCCCTTTTTTTTTTACTATTTGGTTTTCAGCTTTTACTTCACATTAATTTTTAGCTGTAGAATTGTTAAATTGATTCTTACTGTTATCTCTTTCCCCCCCCTTTTTTTTATTATTTGGTTTTCAGCTTTATTTAAATGTCAGAAAATTTCCTTTATTAGGAACAATGTATGACATTGCAGTATTAAAGATAAATGACTGAAACTGGCATGTGCTATACACATTTGATTATCTTCCTGTTTCCTTTAGTTCAAGGCTCTAAATACAAACACTTCATAGCCATTGAGTCTCCCATTCTACCTTCGAATGATCACAGCCTCTCATCATGTTAATTCTATACTATTTCAAGGACCTGTGACGGATGGTTAATAGGATATTTGCAAAGTTTTTAATTTGATGATGTCATGTGTATCCAGTTAGTACTCCAATGTAAGTTACTCAATTTACCAATGTATTTCAATAATTAAAATATTTTTTATCCCTGTTTACCTGGACTTCTTAATTCTTTTTCAAAAGAATGCTTTCAAAGAAGTCATATACAACACTGTGATATATAGATACAATATGTCATTCTGTGAAGATAATGTATAGATTACCATGATAAACCAAAATTTTTCACAAGAAGAAAAGCATCATCTTATATATTTGGTCCATATGACAATCCTAGGGACATCAGATTGATAAAAAAATATCGGAGGTAAGAATCACTAAGAAATGATTATGATGCACTATGCCTGTCTCATATCCACAAGTCCATAATGGCATTTGGGTGGGCTATCAGCAGTTTATCCCATTAGGGACGTCATATAGAATCACTTTTTGAAAAGTTTTAATTTTAAGATAATTCTAGATTTACAGATGAGTATAAAGGCAGCACAGAGAGTTCCTGTATACCTTTCCCTCAGCTCCCCCCATTCTTAACACCTTACATAAACAGTACATTTGTCAAAACGAAGAAATTGAATATTAGTACAGTGCTGTAAACTAAACTACAGCCTTTACTTGGATTCTATTTTTCATTCATACCCTTTTCCTGTTCCAGGATCCAACCCAAGATTCCGTTTCATTCTGTTGCAGTTGGTCATCCTATCTCCTGGCATTTTTTCAGTCTTTCCTTGTTTTTCGTGACCTTGACACTTTTGAAGCCTACTGGTTGAAATTTTGAGATATTTCCCTAAATTTGGATTTGTCTGCTGTTTTCTTATGGTTAGACGGGGGTTATAGAGTTTGAGGAGGAATGTCCTCATCATATTGTAGTATAATATGACATCACCGTGACTTTTACTGGCAATACTAACCATGATCACTGGGTAGGGCCATCTGCCAGGTTTCTCCACTGAGGTTTCTGGTTTTCTTTTCCTGTCCTTTGTTCCTTATGGGTGAGTCACTAAGTTTAGACCACACTCCTGAGGAAAGAGTATCAAGGAATTTGTGGACATTGGTTAAAAGCACCACAGGCTGTAGTCAGTTTGGTTCAGTGAACATTGGCCCGAGGACTGAGGGGTCCCAGGTTCTATTGCGGTCAAGGGCACGTACCTCAGTTGCAGGCTCAATCCCTGGCCCTGTTTGGGGCATATGCGGGAGGCATCCAATCGATGTGTCTCTCTCACAGATGTTTTTCTCTCTCTCTCTCTCCCCCCTCTTCTCTCTCTAAAAATCAATGGAAAAAGATCCTTGGTGAGGATTAACAAAAAAAGAAAAGAAAAGCACCATGGTCATTAGTAAGTATTTTGGGGGAGACACTTTGAGACTGCAAACGTTCTGTTTCTCTTTAAAGGTTTGCCCACTAATTTTATTTTATTTATTTATTTATTTATTTTTATTTTTTTAAATATATAAGACCATCCTGCATATCAGATATTTACATTACGATTCATAACAGTAGCAACATTACAGTTATGAAGTAGCAACGAAAATAATTTTTATTTTTAAATATATTTTATTGATTTTTTACAGAGAGGAAGGAACAGGGATAGAGAGTTAGAAACATTGATGAGAGAGAAACATCGATCGGCTGCCTCCTGCACACTCCCCACTGGGTATGTGCCCGCAACCAAGGTACATGCCCTTGACAGGAATCGAACCCGGGACCCTTGAGTCCGCAGGCCGACACTCTATCCACTGAGCCAAACCGGTCAGGGCTGCCCACTAATTTTAGCACTCCTCCTCGGGTGCTGCCTGCAGCGTTTACTACTGTGGTGTTCCAATGGTGGTTTTTACTTCCCTTATTTCTTCACATGTACTACTTGGAAGTCTTCTCTAAGGAATATTTATTTGTTCCTTTCCCCTATTTATTTATCTATTCAAACATTTATTTATATCTGTATGGACTCGTAGGTATTAATTTTGTTTTTTAGATTACAATGCAATCACCATTTTATCACCATCACTATTTTACTGCTCACATTGGTTGAGCTCTGACCATTGATAATTTTTTCAGGTTGATTCTTGACAAACTCCATCTTTTTTTTCCCACCCTTGGGTTGTCTTTTAAAAGCAAGCAGGCCTATGAAATAAAATTCCAATTCAAAAGTTAATTGAAACATTCCTAAAACTTCACCAAATTTCATTATAAATGAATAGTGCTTTCCATATTATGACAAGCCTTAATGTTTTCCTTCAACTAGACATTATTTAAATTTAGAACTTTGTGATTATTGTATGTTAATCACACTTGCCACCCACCTACCTATGTCTGATTATAATCTTTATTACATATGGAGGAGTCTTGAGTAAAAGACTAGAAGAATAACTATTAACACAAAGATCTTTCAAAAGGAAAGGGAGAGATGTAGGTATATTTTCAACTGATATAGGGGCTACTTCCCCTTTGTTGCCTCCATTTTTTAATCTATAAAATGGACCTAATGCTTAGCAAGACTGATTTTCTATTGAACCAACTTCTTGCTGAAGGACATATTGGAGTTGGTGTTGGGGATGGGGAGGGGTCACAAAATAAGTTCCTTTTGGAGCTAAAGAATAAAATCTATAACTTGGGATTTCCAAATTCCCTACTCAAGGGCGGTATATTGAGAAGGAGTGATTGAAGGAGATTGTGTCCTTTAGGAACAAACTATTCTCCCACTTGTCTTCGGTGTTGAATATTTGGGGCTGGGGGATGGCTCTCTCTCCTTCCCTTCCATCTCATCCCACAGGCCTTTCTAGGTGTCCTCTTCTCATTCTCCAAGGGCAAAGGGACATTCCATGCCCTGGAAGCTTAGTCCAGAGTATTTCTCCTTCTTGGAGTATTTTTCCATTTCTCTCCATCGTCCTGCAGGCTCTTTTTCATATTAAAGCTGAGTTCCAATGACATCTCCAGGCAGAAACTCCCTCTCCTGCACTCCTCCGCCACTTGGCTCTCATACTGTGCTTATCACATTGTTTTTTCAAATGCACTTTCATCCAGTTGCTCCAGACATAACACTGAACCTGTCCACTTCTCTCTGTCCCTGCTGCCCCCACTCTAGACCAAGCCACCACCATCTGGTGCCTGAACCGTCTCTGATCTTTTCACACAGAATAAGGGTGAGTGCAGAGTGGTACAGTGGCGTGGTGGGCCCTTGTCTCTCATTGTTCAGTGAACATCTTGCCTGGTACACCCTGACCCCTGGCAGCAGCCCAGTGTCTGGCTCACAGGAGGGAATAACAACGGTTTATTGAATGTTGATGGAATAAAGTGCTTTCATTTGCTTGGCAACTTACCAGACACTTTCACATATATAATGTTTAATCCTCACAGCAGTCGTCTACACTTTAAAGTAAAAGGAAAATAGAAAAGTAGTTTGGATTAATATCTTCCTTAATAATCAGCATAAAATATGCGATAAAACTTTCAGTATTTAACATCTTTAAAAAAAAAATTCTATGGGCTAGCGTCAAGCCTAGGTAATGCATGCGTCTACTGCCCCCTAGTGGGATTAGCTTCTAATGGCAGCTTTATTTTTCCTTCTTATCGCTAGTGGGAGTAATCCCCATCATACTTTCTTTAATATGTTCACAGATTTCAGGATTCTTCAGCAATTTCTTTACAAAGGCAGGGAGTCTATATCCTGGCTTATTACATAATTATACCCAATTATTACCTGTGTATCTTGAGCAACTTCTCTGTGTCTCAGTTTCCTATTTTGGAAAGTGGAGACCATACAATGGGGTCTTCCCAGATGTGATTAATTTATATGAAGTCACACAGGATTAAGTGAGGCCTAAATTCAATGTCATGGATGTCCTCATAAGAAGAGAAAGAGATGCACTAGACATTATTTACTGGAGTGATGCAGTTACAAGCCAAGAATTGTTGGAAGGCACAAGAGTCTGGAAGAGGCAAGAGGATTCTTCCTCAAAACCTTCAGAAGAAGTACGGCCTTGCTGACGCCTTGCTTTTCCATGTCCAGCCTCCAGCACTGTGAGAAGAAATTTCTATTGTTTTTAGCCACCCGTTTAAGGCACTTTGTTACAGCCGCCACAGGAGGCTAATACACCAAGGAGAACATGGCTTTCTGTTTGCAACGAACACAGTTTGTGCTTATCTCACCCCTGAATAGATGGACTTTCCCACCCAGCCTGTGACACACTGCCCAAGGGTGGGCAGGCGGGCTCCTGAGGAGGAAGGAGATTAGCTGTGCACACCAAATGCACCAATCAGAGGAGAAAGACGGGAGGTTGGGCGTAGTCTCGCTAAAATTCCTCCCACAGGAAACATGGGGATTGGGGAGCAAGAATTCCTGCCTAAGAGTGGACTGCAGATGCCATTTTTTCTGCCGGCACAAAGTTTTCCTACAAGTATTTGAGTCAGTTCTCAACATTTAAAAGTTGGTAGGCTTCATATAAAAATCCAGATTTCAAGCTTCTCTTTGAAGATGGAAAATCTGGCCACCCTGGGCCCCCTTCCCACAGAGCTTGACTGGCTGTTGCTGCAAAGTCGGTGCCTTCTTCCAATGGACT